ATTTACACTACATACATGCCTGATGCCCATCATGTCAGAAGAGGATGTTGGATGTCACTTGGGTGCTAGGAGGCGAATCTGTAGGTCCCTGAAAGAACAGCCAATGTTTTTAACCATTGAGGCAACTCTCTAGGACAGAGAATCCTATGTAAACTTACATAGGCCCTACAATGGTCTTTGTTGGCTAGCTTTGTTGGTTGATATAATAGGGTCTGTCTGTGTCAGCCAGCCTGGCCTTGAATTCCCAATTCTCCTACTTCAGCCTTTTAAGTACTGATTTTTTTTTTCTTTTTCTTTCTTTCTTTCTTTTTTTTTTGAGACAGGATTTCTCTGTGTAGTTTTGGTGCCCATCCCGGATCTCACTCTGTAGACCAGGCTGACCTCGAACTCAAGAGAGATCTGCCTGGCTCTGGGATTACAGGCATGCGTTACCACCGCCCGGCTACTGAATTGTTTTTAAGAAGTTTTGGTTTTGGAGACAGTGTCTCACTGTATAGCCTTCTGTAGAGCAGAGGCCTTGAACTCAAGAGAATTGCCTGCCTCTGCTTACCCAGTGCTGGGACCAAGGGCATGTGCCACTAAGGTCCTGGTTTGATCCTTATTACCTCAAAATAAAAATAATAGAACTGAAGTGGGTGCTGAGAACATGGCTTATTTGGTAAAGTACCTGTTGTTCAAATGAGTTTGGACCCCAGCTTCACGGAACAGCACATGAGCATAATCCCAGTGCTGGGAAGAGATGGGAAGATCTCTGGGGCTAACTAACCAGCTGGTCTAACCAAAACTGGTCAGCTCCAGGTTTAGTGAGAAAACTACCTAAAAAATAAGGTGGGGAGAATACGATGAAGACACTTGACATCAACTCCTAGACGCCACAGCACACTCTAACATATATATATATACGCATACACACAAATAATGCCTAGCTACATTTATTTTTTAATCAGTTTATATTTTTCAATTTAATTAATATGAACGTTTTCTGTACAAAATGAAATTATTGGTTGGGTAAATGATTTATCATCTTACTGTATCTACTTTGGTTAAAATATAAAAATATAAAATAGAAGCCAGTAGTGTGGTCACATGAGTCTATGTGCAAGTTTGCATGCATGCGCGCGCGCACACACACACACACACACACACACACACACACACACACACACACATGCGATAGATAATAATTATCAATGACTCGGTCTTTTGGTTTTGTTTTTTAAAGCCTTTTTTTTTTAAGACTGATTATGTACACGGTGTTCTGTCTGTATATATGTCTGCACACCAGAAGAGGGCATCAGATCTCATTACAGATGGTTGTGAGCTACCATGTGGTTGTTGGGAATTGAACTCGGGACCTCTGGAAGAGCAGTCAGTGCTCTTAACCTCTGAGCCACCTCTCTAACCCTCTTTTTTTTTTTTTTTTTTTTTTTTGAGACAGGGTTTCTCTGTGTATCCCTGGCTGCTCTGGAATGCATTCTGTAGACCAGGCTGGTCTCGAACTCAGAGATTGCCAGCCTCTGCCTCTGATTCCCAAAGCTGGGATTAAAGGTGTGCCACCACTGCCCAGTGGTCTTTGGGTTTTATTTACTAAAACAAATGTCTTACTATGTAGCCCAGATTACTTTCAAACTCAATCCTCACCTCAACTTCCCAAATCCCAAGTGCTGAGAATAAACATGTGCCATGGTGTCTGGCTTATAGTCATTTTTATATTTATCTTCTGCTTAAGTTAACGGTTTAGTGTTTTAATTCTACTGCTATAACAGTATTTGGAATGATTATCCCATTACTACTTACTTGCCAAGTCCTGAGTTCAGAATTCTGAGCTGAATATAAAAGCACCTAAGGTCACGAAAATATTCATCTTGTGTGCTAAGGTTCCTGAAAATAAAAAGAACAGAAAGGTAAGTGTCCTAGCTTCTTTTCTATTGCTGTGATAAGACACCATCATTTAAGTGAGCTTATAG